TAGCTGAGAGAAAGATTCATTTAGTGTATAGGGAAGACAGTCTTCGGTTAATAGAAGGTGTATCAATAGCTACATTTTTAGGAGGTAGTCAAGTTTTAGGGATCGTCCCCGAAGCTTTAGCATAAGGGGACATCATTGAAAAAATAATTGGGACGAATTATAAGTCTCCAATAATGTCTGCTCGAATGAATATAATGTTTTGTTGTTTCTTATTTGTTTAACCATGTTTGTCAGTGTTCGTTATTTCAGGTGATGTCTTCTGTACTCTATCTTTCTACCTTATGATATTGAGGACAATCTCTCATTTTGGTTAGGAAGGGAGGGTAGTAGCTTTCAGAAAAAAATTAACTGTGTTTTCTATTTCATAAAGCATGTGTAAAATTATTGTTACTAGGATGGCAGAGTAAAGGAGCTCTTTTGTTAAAGTGACTCTTGAGACGCATCTTAGTAACTAGTCTTAACAAGGTCTATTATAATACTTCTTGAAATATTCAGGTTTACAAACTCTCTCATTATTATCACTTAATTCTGCTTGTATACTCATTTAACATGTATTCTTAAATCTTAATTTTCACACACACAGCTCATATACTCATTTAACACGTATTCTTAAACCTTAATTTTCACATACACACTTTAACATATGGTTGTGGGTTGCACATTGGATTATTATATTATTTATGTTTTTTTGTTAAAGGTAACAACTAAGGTAAAGGGATAGTATATAATTTGAAAAAAAAACAAAAAAAAAGAGTAAAAAAATAATGATAATAAAAATGTAGATAAGTTTAGTTTCATAGCCTCCTTAACCTAAGCAATTAAGCCTGAAAGGGTGTTTTAAAACCTAATACCCTAAAATCAACTGACTTAGGAGTTATTGGCCCAACGCTTGTTATATGGGTTGAGAAGAAAAGCTTAATGGAATTAAACATTGCATTAATTACGTATCAGTATCTGCAACCCGAGTTACTAAGCTCGTAGGGGTGTCTCAACACCTAATGCCCTAAGACCAACTGGTTTGAGAGTTATTAGTTGAAAGCTTGTTACATGGGTTAAAGATGCATTATGTTTTAAGTTAAATGTATATATATTTAAAAAAAAAACAAAAAAAAAATCTCAATCCAAGGAAGTTAACCTTAAACATTAGAATAAGAATTTTGTTTTCTTCCAAGTAAAGACCCATAACTATGTGTTGATATATTGAGCACAAAAGAAAGATTTATTAATATCTTGTTTAAGAGGTATTGAGCAGATATATAAATTTAATGAGAGTTTGTTTATCTGGGTAGATTAATGAAAGTTGAATGATGAATACCTTGCTTTGTGGAATTTATAAATGTTTTTCTATTTTAACGCTTTGATTACTAGGGACTAATAATAAGCTGGTTGGGGGGTGTGATTAGTACTTAAAAATACATTTTTTATCAAGGTTTTATATAATCATTTTACACTTGAAGTATCAATAACTCCTTAGCTAAAACATGTTTTATAATAACATATCTAATAATATAAGATACCTTTAATTTATGGTGAATGTCTATTTTAAATTTAGACCTATCATATAAACAAAAGGATTGATTGATGAATTTAAGAACTGAAATTGAAATGACAAAAAGATGGCCAAACTTAAAAAAGAGATGTCGGTGCAGTCCAAACCAGAATACTATTCGGTAATTGGGTCGTATTTGGAGTTGTAGATCTCAGATTTTGGTCTACTTTATATGGATGGAAAGGTAAGATATAGTCCTACAACTTTTATATGGAGTCCAAGATTTAATAAGGCCATTTTCAAGTCCAAATTGTAGCAACAACAAAGAAGTCTGAATCTGTCCTTCAGCCCGAGCACTATTCAGTGTTTGGCCCATATTTGGAGTTCTAGACGTCCAAATGACCTAAATTGTTTACCCAAGAAAGCTGAGATAATTTCCTACAACTTTCATGTTTTCAAGTGGTTCTAATTTTCACATTATCAATGACTTTTTGGGCAAATAAGAGAAGATAAGGATTGTCACCAAGTCAAGAGTTGGTCACTCACTCATCAATTAGTCATCAAATCAATAGTTCCTAATTTTGGCCTATAAAAAGAGGCATTTAACATGCATTTAGGCATCTTGATTTCCAGATCAAGATCATGCTCTTGCTTTCTCTCTTTGTATTTTTTGTAATGTTTATGCTTTGCTTTCATTAATATCAAGCTTATGCCTTTCATTTTCTTTCATTTACTTAGTTAACTTTTATCTTATTTATATTCTTATTTTGTTTATTTATTTTTTTTCGTTCATTATGTTTAGTTAAGTTCATTATGTCAAGGTGAAAAGGTTACATTAATGGTGTAAGGATAAATATAGTGTAAACTTAATATGGACTTTAATGTTTGATACTAACATATTTTGTATTTGTTATCTTGTTCACTCTTTAATACTTTGCTTGTTAAATGACTAATCTAGATTTATGTTGTATAACACTTGGTACAACAAATATTTAGCACTCTCATAGCCCATACTATATGGTATAACCGACACTTGAGCTATGAAAAGAACTTGATTTGTTGTTAACATAAGTTATAATCATGAATGTCTGATGAAATTTACAAGTATTAGAATTAATCAAATAAGATAACTAATGTGATCATGTTAACAATTTATAATCTGATTGGAACCTCCTTTGTGTGTGGTTTCCAATTGAATAATAAGAGTTTATACTATACTTGTTTAACATACCATTAGTGGAATCTCTAACCTTGACATTTGTTATTATCATCATTTAATCCTTACATTAATATTCTATCTCAAAGTTCTCATCTTCTTCTTCTTCTTTTTTTATTATTACTACTACTACTACTACTATTGTTGTTGTTGTTGTTGTATTGTTGTCATTTATAATTTATACAATTAACCTCCCTGTGGTTCGACCCCGATCTTGCCGGGTTATTTATTACTTCGACACTCCTGCATTTGGGAGAAGACATCAATAGTTTAGTCGTGTTAGCCACCCAGATAAAAAATGCTTTTGTAAGAATGATTGGCATAGGTTTTTGACCTGTTCATCTTGTTAATGCATGCAATATGATTTCGAATTCTAGTCCATGTTCCTATACTTCCTCTATATCTTCATCTTGGTCTTCTTCCAATGTCTGTTAGTCATAAATTTCTTCATACATGCCCTTCTGAAAGTAATAATTGTGGTCTTTAACATTTATGCCCAGCTGTGAAGCATTTATTACAATTAAAACAAAGTTCTTTTTTACATTTCTTCTCATGTTAAGTGTCTAATTAGAATAATAGGGGTAGCAGAAGCTACACATATGGTTTATAGAAGAGCTAGATGAGTTCTTGGGGGTGGAATTTATGTGAACAGTTGATGCCATGTAAGCTGCTCATCTTGTATTTGTGCTAAATTAATGACCTCACGAGGGATTGCGGTTTATTTGTATCCCATTAAAAATCTCAACCTTCAAACCTTCTGTGAACATCTTCATCAACACCATTTGCATCTATTCATGCACCTTATTGTCGAGCTTCTCAAATTCACATTAATAATTTCTCAATGTTCCCAGTTGCTTGATTCTTAAGAGAGCTTCATCAAAGTCTTCATATCTTAATGGTCTAAAGCAAGCCTATAATTCCTATTTGAATTTTTCCTATGAAGTCATGTGTCTTTCTTCTTATAACATCCTGTAAAGGCACTACAATCATTGGTTAGCCTCCCCTTCAAAGTGGTAAATAGTCATGGGAACCTTTTGGTTCTCCATCGTGCCTTGGTATTCAAAGAATTGTTTCACCCTATTGAACCACTCCATTGAATTGTCTCCAGCTAAGTGTGGAAATTCTAGATTGGCTAACTTGGATAAGATAATTCGCCAGCCTTCATCTTGTTTTTCTAGGTGTTGATTGTCATGATTTAAGGATTCTGAATTAGAAGAGCAACATATTCGAAAGTCGATTGAGAGCTTCCTCTAAACGGCGGAGGTTGTTGTTCATATCAAACTCCATTCACTGTAATCCCTCCTGAGGTGTAGCCCAAACTTCAAGTGCTTAATTTGCTCCTTATTGATTCCCATAAGAAACATGTTTTTAAACTAATGATAGGTTCTGTTTAAATATAAATAAAAACATTCATGAAAATATCCTTTTTGAGTGACGATATACCACAGTTTAACTGAAATAATTTTTTTATCCCTCATTGATAATCTATAGCTGCTTAAATAGCAGACCATATGATTGAAACTAAAAACAGAGTAAGCTAAAAAATAAAGGAACATCCTAAGACCATTACAAGTAATCGACACCTAATAAATAAAATAATAAAAATGAACTTCACGTTGAAATAAAATGCAATAGAAAGATAACATCAAGCATAAGTTTCTTCAACTGCTATAACTTGGTCCATGCACCCTGCTAAGACCCGGTCCATACATGTATTCATGTCACTCCCATACACTACATCATTATGTCTTATTTATGTTTCCTATCAACCTCCTTCCAAATATTTAGGAGTTCATTTAAAACCTCTAGCTAAACATAATAACTTATCATACTCAATTATTTTAACTATTTTAAGTATGGACATAAATTATGTTATTTTGTATTATGAATTAACTTGGGGATTATAAAATTTTAAGTTATTTTACACAAATTTGAGTTGCTAAAATAAATAAAATTATGTTGAACATAATTTAAAATCTTTATATAAAAAAAATTCATCAAAATCTAATTTACTTATTAACTTATTTGATTATTTAGTATAAAATTTTTATTTTATCTTTAGTGGTTTTTTAACTAATATTTATATTTATTATTTATATATATATATATAAAAAACACTATTATAAAATTTAATTTGGTCCAGCTAGTTAACTTTATAATTTATCCATTGGATGTTTAGTTTATATCTAATTTTTTTAATTAAATTGATTATTTTGATTTTTTTAAAATTAAAATGACGTCATTTTGTATTAATTCAGCCAATAACAAGTGACCAAGGTCGGGTGGATTATGAAAAGAGAGAGAGAAAGAGAACGGAAGCATCTAGAATTCCTTTCTCTGCAGGCAACCGACTTTAGTAGCAGGAGAGGGGCAGCACTGATGCTTTTTATAGTTATTTTCTACTACATATGTATGGAGAAAAGAGAAGAGATAGATTTTGAACAATCGAGTTTGTTAGATCGATAAATCGAAGGGAAATGGATAGAAGAGGAAGCTTAACAAAGGGAATGCTGCCGCTGCTGGCAATTCACGCTGTAAGCGAGTACTATAGGCTGCCATGGAAACCTCCTGTCACCGCGGCTCTTCTCGGTGCCAATACTCTCATCTATTTGAGGCCTGCTTTTCTCCGTCATATCCTTCCCTCTATCGATCAAGTCTGGTTTAATCCCCACCTCATTCTTAAGGTACCTATCTGGGTAGTCGTCGTCATCGTCATCATTATTATACTAGTAGAGTAGAGTAGATCCTACGTGGTTTAATTGCTATTAGTTGTTAATTGGGCAAATCAATCAATTGGGTTTCTCCAATAGATCAGAACGAATCGGTTTTTCCAATAATTTAGAAAGAATCGATTGCTTGATTGATGATGGGCTTTGCTATTAATTTGCTAAAGTCTAGTAGTTTTACTTATCTTATTCTTTGTTAATTTTTGTATACAATTATTAAGTGAAAAAAAACATCTTGTGGTTTAAAGATTTTGTATTTGTAGGTTCTGTCCTAATTGTAGGAAATAACTGATGATGCTTTTGCCTTTTGCTTTTTATTGAGCAGTATAGGGACCTGAAACGCTTCCTGCTCTCACCATTCTATCATGTGAGTGACTCTCATCTCGTTTACAACATGATGTCGCTCTTATGGAAGGGAATTCAATTGGAAACTTCTGTGGGAAGTGTTGAATTTGCATCTATGCTTGCTGCTTTACTTGCTATGTCCCAGGGTATTACACTGTTGCTAGCCAAGTCCCTCCTCCTCTTCTTTGATTATGACAAACCTTTCTACTCTGAATATTCTGCTGGATTTTCTGGTGTTCTATTTGCCATGAAAGTTGTCCTCAATTCTCAGTCCGAGAGTCTTACTAATGTCTATGGATTGGTCATACCGGCACGCCATGCTGCATGGGCAGAGTTGATTCTTATCCAAATGTTTGTACCTGGTGTCTCATTTCTTGGCCACCTCGGGGGAATACTTGCTGGGATTCTCTATCTCAAGTTGAAGAGAGCTTATTCAGGACCAGACCCACTCACTCTAACCATCAGAACCCTTACCAATGTAATAAGCTGGCCTCTGAGGTTTGTGAGGAATTTATTTCAATTCCGGCGAGGACGGATTTCTGGTCGTGGAAGTGTTGGTGGGAGGCAGACGGGAAGGACAATGTCAGGGCTGTGGAGATGCCAAGCATGTACATATGATAATTCCAGTATGTTAAGTGTATGTGAGATGTGCGGGACAAGTCGGGGAGCTCGTGGATTGTCCTCCCGTGAATTTTCACGCCATTCCGATGACCTTACATTGGAAGAAATACGTCTTCGAAGGATCGAAAGATTTGGTTGATCAGATTCTTAACTCATTTTATACGCCACCATTTGTTTTTTGATTCTGTAGCCAAGTTAGATGTGGATTAAGACCAGTTCTCAAGTTTGGCAGACCTCTCCGCCCATTTTTATACTCGAGGTCCCTTTTCTTTGAGATGTAGCTGGTCGGTGTTTGCTTTCGTAAAAGAAGTAGAAGATAGATTTTCCACTCAATCTCTTGGTTGTGGATGCAAAGCAGAAATGAGCAATGGGATAGCCCTCGAGTGTTTGATGTTGTTTTCAAACATTAGATGATTGCTTTGTGAAAGGAGTGGAAGTCATCGATTAATGTTTAGCGACTTGCGCGGGAAGGCTTTCTGGTTGTTTTTTTATTTATTTATTTATTAAAAAAAAAACCCCATGCCTTAGTGTTTTGCTGTACACAGATAGTTACATTGAAATTACTATTGGTGAAATTATTATTTTGTTGTATCAAAAAAAAAAAAACCCATTACACTAACTACTGGTGTAAAATAGTATTTTTATATTATTTATTAGTTATTATTCAAATAATCTAGGGCATATAGATCTTTTCATTACAAACAAATTATTAAATCATCCGTTAGCACATTAAAATTACTAAAATATCTTTAAATATCAATTTTTTTAAATTGGTTACATGGTTCCTCTTTTTCTCATTTTTTTTTATTATTTTATTATTATTACTAACAAGTTAGGTGTTTTGGTAATTTTATAGATATAAGTATTATTATAAAGATTGTTGAAAGGAAAGTAAGTGTTTCATGTGTTTGTTGGGCTAGCATTAAAACATCCTTAATGGCTTTTATATTATTAGGTGGCGTGTGTGCTTAATGAACTTTTAATTTAATATTGATAATTTTTTTTTTTAATTTTTGTATTTATCTCTTTAATTTTTTAAAGTAGTCTTTTAATTTATTTTTTATTTTAAATTTAATTCATATTATTTAGATTATTATTTATTTTATTTGAAATGATTTATAAATTAATTTTTTTTCAATTTTATCCTTATTCTTTTGTTTCTATTTTTTTGTTTTTTATCATTTTTTTGATTTATTTTATTTTTTTATTTTTGTCCCTCGTTATTTTATTTTATTTAATTTTTATACTAGAATTGGTTCTTATTTTCTTGATTTATTTTATTTTTTAATTTCTTCCCTTATTATTTTATTTAATTTAATTTTTATACCAAATTTGTTCATTATTCTTTTTATTATTATTTGTTTTAATTTTTAATCTTGGATGATTAAGAGTTTTGTTTCATGATTTTTTTAGGTTTGTCTTCTGTGGGATAACTCAATCTCATGATCAGCATCATGAGTTTTGAAAATTAGATTAATTTAACTTCAATTTTTTTAGGTTATATTTTTAATTTTTTTTAATTTCATCATTTGATATTATGTTTTTAGATCTTTAGTTTTGTGGTTTTTGTTGCTTTTCATTATATGAGATTATCTCAATCTTATATCCTAAGTTGTGGGTTAGGCGAGTTAATCTATATTGATTTAGAGTTTTCTTGATATTTTTTAAATTAATTTTTTTTCAGTTTCATTCTCCATTGTTTAGTTAGTTTGAGAGTTGACACCTATTGTTTAATTTATTTATTTTTTGTATGAGGTTATCCCAACTTTATAACCGAGTTGTGAGTTTGGCATGCTGACTAAAGTTAGGTTTTTTTTGTTTTTTTTTATAAATCATTTTTTTCTAATTTGTTCAACATTAGATTGGTTGGTAATTAAGTTTCAATAATTTTTTTCTTTTCATGAGGTTATCGCGTTCTCATTTAATTTTTGTTTTGTTGTCAAATAAAATCGTTGATATCTTAAAAGAATATTTAGAAAGTATATTTTCATAATATTGATAAACATTTATCTTTTTATTAGTCATTATTATTATTTTTATCATTAGCTTTTTAATCATATTATTAAATAAATCAAATTTACTGAACCTATTTGAATTAATGACTCGGCTCCCAAATTATTTTTACTTTTTTTAAAATGCAATTATCACCTAAGCATTTGTTACGTTATGACAAATTTAAATTGGTTTATAGCACAGCACTAACCACCTATCTAGAAGAAACTATAGGAAAAAATAATTTGTTAATTTAGCATTCTAAACGTAATTCATATTTTTTTAGTGTTATTATTTATTTTGACACTGTTTCATATTATGATGCATTGTGGTTGAAGATACTTGTAAGTTGATCATAATTTTAAAAATTATTTGGTTTTCATTACATAAATTTAACATGTTATATAGCAAGTGGGCCACCTATATAGTGGAGATTATAAAAAGAAATAGTTTATGATTCTAGCATCTTATATATGATTGATATTTTTTAAATAGTGTTATCCATTTTAATTTTGTTTTACATTATGGTGCAGTGTGCTTGGAGGTATGTTTAGGCTAACTACCATTTAAAAAGTTACTTGGTTTATATTTATTTAAGAGTGTGTTTCTAACAACGTTTTAAAAATATATCTGCCTTGAAAAGATATCAAATTAATGTTATTTTTTAGTGGTTGTTTTTATAATTTTGATGTGTTGATGTTAAAAAAAAAATTAATGTATTTTTAAATAATAAACACTTTAAAAAAAATATATTGTACCATAATATCAGACATCTATTAAGATTACTTAAATTTGCTTTACATCTTAAATTGTGGTAAAAGCTTGGATTTTAGAGAAGCAATAATTATATCTTTTTTAATTATTTTTTTAAATTATAATCGTAAAAATTATCAAAATATCAAATACACATTTCATGATTCATACAAACTCATTTTATTTTATCTTATGATGTTTTTAAGATATATATGATTCATGTTTTGAAACCTAAAGGTATGAGAAATATCCAAAATCAACATCAATCATGTAATAAATCTTTTTTATGCATGATAAATTTTAATATGATTTTTTTCTTAGTTAGAAATCTTTTTGGATTTTAGCTTTTGTGTTACTAAAAATCAAAGTGGCTAATTCTTGGAAATATAAAATCATATGATTTTTTTTTGTGAGATAAATTTTTTTTTCTCACTTTCTCTGTCTAAATTATAGATTTTTCATTGCATAATAAATAGGATTAGAATTTGGAAAATAGAACAAGCATTCCTATCTTTAAAAATAGATAATAACGTTTAGTATTACTAATATTTTTTTGCCAGGGAGTGCAAGTTTTTTAAAATCAATTTTTGCTTAGTTTTTTTGTGATGAAAATAAATATTTTTAAGAAAAGTAAGGATTTAAATTTTGAAAAAGAAATATATTTTATTATATGGATTTTTATTTGTTATTAATGCATATTTTTTTGTTTTATGAAAAAACATATCTTTTTTATTTGCAATATGATTTTTAAATAAAAAATACACATCATTAAAATAAATATTCACAAAAATCTCAATCGTTAAAGATGTATCTCTCCAATCAAAATTTTATTTCCTTGTTCATTTATTTCTTTTTTGTTTTAAGGAAAATAGATTTTCTATGTGAATCATTATTTTTTAATATATAGATTTATCACAATATAAAAAGTAAGATTGAATAAAAAAAATCATGATTCAATAAGGCGATAAAAAAGAGAGTAAAAGTATAATTAATATTAAAAAAATCATGTAAAAAATTTAAAATAAAAAATAAGAAAATAAATTTTTTTTATTAGTGTGTGTGTCTATATATATATATATATATCAACATGTTTTTTTATGAATCTTGCTTGATTTTTTTTTTTTTTTTAAGAATCTTGCATATCAGGTTTATATAACAATTCACAAGGTAATCGCTAACATCATTTATCATTGTGAATAATATAATCTTACTTAAAAGCTATGGAAAAATATATAACATTTTAAAAATCATTTTTATTGTCTTATTCATGGCAAATTTTATTTAAAATAACAAGAAAAAAAGTGAAGGTTAATATAAAAAGATACCACGCACTAGCCCATGAGGATTGAGAAAAGCTTTTGATCCAAAAAACAAAACCCAAATATATTTATATCCATAATATCAATCCCAAGTGTTTGATCTAGGTGAATTATATGCTTAGTTATTTAAAATAAAATAAATAATTTTTACTCCATTTGGATAGATTTAGTTTGAATTTCTATTATGTGTTTGGTGATCAGAAAACTGAATTTGAGTTCTTGGATTTAAAAAATTTATTTTTCTACTTGTTTTATATGAAAACTCTTGAAATAGGTTTTAGAAACCCAATTAAATCTATTTTTAATCCCAAAACACTATAAAATTGATAAAAAAATAAAAAAATAAATTGATTAAAAGAATTTTTTTGGGTTTGGATTTAATTTATAATGCAAGATGAAATTTTATAATTGAAACATAAAATTCTTAAATAAAAAGCACCATATATATATATATATAAATTAAAATTTCAAGGAACAAACTATAGTTTTATGCACTTCTTAAACAATATAAATGAAATGCATGTCTTTTTTTATAATTTTTTTTTCATTTTTTTCTTGCAACACATTAAAATTCTATTTTAATAGTTAATTCACATAAACAACACTTCTAGATACCTCAGGAGGTATAGAATGCAAATAAAATTTTAAATGGTAAATTAACTGGTCAGGTTTTGAGTTTGTTTCTCAATAATTATGAATTTGAGTTTTTTTAGAATCACTAAAAACTTACATAATCATTAATTTTACGGCTTGTTGGATTAGTCAAAATATATGTAAATTGGTTCAAACATCCATACTAATTAAAAATAAAAAAATTTTAGGACTCATGAATTAATATACATGTGAGCATTAAGTAGAAAAAATGAAAATGAAACACTATACAATAAATGAACAATAGTAATATCTATAGTTTTAGCCCATTTGCTGATTATTTTTTTAAAGTAAGTGAATTACTGCATATATTTAGCAAAGATTCTACCAATTTACTTATATTTTTTCTTTATTTTTATTTAGAAATTATATTTTATATCCTCAATCAATTTATACTGGAAAAATTAAAAACCTATATATAATATATCAAAAACACATAGTAGAATCTCTCTTTTCAACGTAGGTTTCTTTGTTTTCAGAATCCCTAATGTTTTTTCAAAGACTGGTAATTTCTTTTTCTTGATTATCAATTCCTTCATCTTTTAACTTAAACATTATATGCACATCATCAACCTCCACTTCTTACACCTGATAACCGCTAATCTTACTAAAAAATTCAGTATATGATACAAGTGAAAAGGTATTTTGTTATGTTTGAATTAAACCTTTTTGTTTTTCCCCTGCTTCTCTCTCTTATACCTGGACCCTGGATTCGATTATGGCAGTGATGGCGGAGGATTGTTTTGTGGATTGGTTGCGACGCTTGTTTTCTAGGTAGAATTG